AGGAGTAGATAGCCCGGAGTAGCTGATTGTTTCCAAACTGCAGACCTCGCAGATCTCAACCCAATATGTAACCAGTACACCACCAGGGCTCCTTACAACTTTATATCAGAAATTATTCCAGATGGGTAAGGAAAAAGTCTATCAAGCCGGGGGCACTGTCATAGGCCCACCGCAGCCCCCTATCAAGACAACCGCTAGAACAGACCTAGAATGAAAGAACAATTCATCTCAGTGAAATACACTCGAGCTCCACTGCTATCAAACGGGTCTCAGGAGCGTCCTAAAACAACGCTGCGAGAGAAAACACAGGAATTCCTACAGCGCTACGAAAGGCAAGTTAATTCCTGAACCCAGCATTCCCAAACCCGGCTGCTTATTAAATTTAACCCAGTGAGCTTTTGAAAAAGCCCAAACATCCAGACTCTATCACCCCAAACTCTGGAATCTTTATCAGGTTGCTATATCTCATACGAATTTCTAGGTGATTCTCATATTAGGTGGATTGAGTCCACTGGGAAACCAGTGGTTCTGTATTTAAACAGATCCAACACTTTAAAAGACATTTTAAAAATCTAACAATATTCTTCCTTTTCCTGAAAGACGCTTCAATGTTGTTCAATTCCAGTGTTTGAGACTCCTTCTCTCCCAACACATCCCAAGTGTGTGTGCTTCTTAATTATTAGGATCTCTTCGAACTGTGGTTTCTTTTTTAAACTTAAGTCAAATAAATAACACAGATATATTTGAGTTGGCTGGAATTACACATTGTGTATATTTAGGTATAAATACACACATATTACAAAATTCTAAGTGCTTTCTGTTTGGGGCAAAAAAGGAAGTTAACTTGAAGATCTTCAACATTCTGAACAAGAATCATATCCAATTTCATTTTCTTTAGTTTTCCCCCTATCTGGAGATTCTAACATACACACACACACACACACACACACACACACACGAGATTCTAACACACACACACACACACACGAGATTCTAACACACACACACACACACACACACACACCCCTTTTCTTGCTTGTTCTTTTAAAAGGAGAGGGTAGAGGCTCCCACCAGAGGGCTGAGCTGAGAACGTATTGGGTACTTCATCCCGGAGCAGAGAGCCCCAGCGTCTGCTAACAGGCAGTTTTCCAGCTCACTGGCACAGGCACAAGTGAAAGCAGCACATTCATTTTGTGCAATTTGCTTTACCTTCCCACATGGAGTTGGTGCATGTAAAAGGCTGTTAAGTACTAAATTATTCCTTATCAAATCACCATCATCTGGAGTCATGATCAACACTAATTAAATTACTTTCACTGAACAGGGCTCCAGCCTGCTGCTGAGGCTGTAGGTACATTTCATTTGGCTTACTGTACTGTCCTTGCTGGGTCTGGAACAGAAAGCTACAGGCATGCACGTTGTTTGTAGTTTTAATTAAAGTGAATCTTTCCTTCAAGTATATCAAATCAAGTGAGTTAACTCCTTCATTTCATTTACAGCAAACCGATGGCATAAAATGATAACTATATTATATCATTAGCTCTGACTTCAAACAATTCAGATAATTTATCTATGAGATCTACAATCAACA